AGGTTGGATGCGGGGAACACGGTGCCTGGCATTTCTGCAAAGGCCTCCGAGTGATTATTCACATCAAATGCTTCAATGTTTAGCCAGTCGCCCGTCACATCTATTCCCGGCAGCTGGCTGAAATTCTGCGCGTTTCCGTTTTCATCCATTTTGGTTTTGTTTTCGTCCATTTTGGTTTTGAGGTGGCTCATGAATGATTTGGCGGCAGTATGAATGTCTTCTAGCGTGTGTTGAAGTTCAGTTCGCGAGAGCAAGTTCCGGGCATCCGAGTTGGCCGTCTCAAGAAGTTGCTCCAGCCTAGTAACTTCTCCATTTAAGCGTTGTACCTCGTCCGACTGCTTCTGCATCTCCACACGGTACTGCTGAATCTTGTTTATCATCTCGGCTCTTTCCCTGCTGAACCGCTGCGCATTGGCGGCGGCTTCACGCCGCTGCTCATTATAACGAGTCGTCAATTGTCTGTTGAACGCATCGGCATTCTCGATGTCCTTTCTACAATGAGCGTGAACGATCTCAAAGTTTTCATCCGTGTCGTTTTGATTCGAGGTTCTAGAGACGTGGGAAGTTCGTCCCTGTCAAAAAAAATATGCGAGTGAGAATGTATGCCCCATAGCTGTGACGATAACGAACGGACCGGTACTTCTCGAATATTTATTGGCCGTTGTGACTTCGGTTCATGACCACCGCCCTCGCTTTCAGGCAAAGCCCCTATGGGCTGCGCAAGAGATCTTCGGGTGCCTGTCGACCGGCGAACCGCGCGTTGGGGCGGTACCATTGGGTTCCTCGAAGTTGTCGCTTCTTTTGGCATAGTGATAGGGGATCTGACGAAAGATCAAAGGTTGATCGGATCTTTGCAAAGAAGAAATCGTTGCCAGAAGGTTGCTCGAGGTGCGAGTGCGGGTAATTTATTTACTAGCTTTGAGATTCCGCAAGCCAAACTACAAAACGTTCAACAATCTTAGTGAGCGATGATCTCAACCCTGTTTTGCACGTTCTAACAGAGAGTGGCTGGACCACTGACAATCATGCCAGCAATCCTCTGTTACTGTAATAGTGTTTCCGTATTAACTGTAATTTACTTAGTAGTTCTTCATGAGAAGTGGTTAGGACTATGAAAGGCCCAATCACCGTCGATAGTTCTGCTACATGGGCTGAGAATTTCTGATGAGCATCATAAACGCCCCATCAACAGATTCGGCATGATCTCAAACGCCCGCACAGAACGATGGCCTCAAGAGATCCCATCAGACAGGCTAGTGGACTTCTGGATCAGAGATTCAAGTAAAATACTGAGGGCCAGGACTTTGATAGCCTGGTGGCGTAAAACTCTGCACTCTGCTTCGGGGATCCCGACATGCACGCGAATCTGCTTGAGCTGTCGTAGAAGTCGTCTTCTCTCCCTTCGCAGACCCCGCAAGAATACTGCCGCTTGTGACTGGCTCGGGGCATCCTCTACATAGCTCCGGGGCTGCTCGAAATTTCCCGTCCACTTCGTCTCGCCTTGCAAATTTGTAGTTAGTGAGTCGGACAGATACTGAAGAATGCCTTCACTCGCACGGCGTCCGCGGGATTAAGATTGAAACGGCAGGACTTGTGTACAGCCAACTGAGGTCACCAGTCAGAAAGATCACTCCCAGGGATCTAACACTTACCAACGGTATTGACCTTGGCTGCTGGTATGGAGACAAGGGAGACGTCTTGGAAACTCAAAGTCAAATGCAGCTTTATGAGTGCCCGTCGAGTCGACAGTTTTCGCTACGCCACCAACATCTGAAAGGGATTCTGTTTTGCTCCGGGCGTTCAAAATGAAGTGACCCTCCCTCGCCTGTTGATCTTTTGATGTCCTAATATGCTCATGCGAACGGCGGCCCACTTGTGCAATTTGTCATTGAAGACCCACTCTGGATCGAGTGCGGGCCTGAGCACGGTCGATCCGGAGAAGGGCAAAACGGGGTTTAATTCCTTGGCGGCTCGGTTACTGTATTTTATACGCACCTCATAAATGAACGGCACCCCTGCCGCCGTCTTGAACATGTGGGCTGTGGGTCGCTACAGAGAAGAGAATTTCCAACATCTCCCCAACCAATGTAACCATGGGGCCAAAGGGGTATGAATTGAGGTCGCCGTCCAATTGGTGGATTGCAGCCCATTGGAGTGAAAATGATGGTCCTGCGTAAGAGTCAAGCTCAAATGGACGTCGAAGTTATCGAAGTTATCCAAGTTAACCCGACGCTTAATTACGCAAGCCGTTTGCTGCTTAATTACACAACCTGTTGAAGGTGTATGCAACGACACAATCAATCGCGACCAATGACCCGTCTGTTTCAATAAAATAAACTCTAGACTCGATTTGTGTAACTCACACAGACAGACCCTTGTCTGTGTTTATCTCTCACAAGTCTAGAGGTGAATTGGTTCTTCGAAAGTCCAGCAGTTTAACCAGCGTTCTAAACATGCAGCGTATAAGAAATGTCCAAGATATGCAATCTTTAAGTGTTTATCTTAGGGAACCGCTGTGCAATTCGTCCAAGTACCTGTTCTTGGGTAACGTACGTCGATTGATCAATCTGTTGGGTGAGATGAAGTTGCAATTGGTGAATACACTCCGCGAGAGAGGATTTTATTGCTCTTCGAGCAATTGTCATCGTTCCATGATCTGCAGCTTGAACTCGCGTTGCAATTGAGTAAATCCCTCCCCTGGCTACTTTGTGAAGTAGCTCACGTGCCGGCTTCCGGTAAAAGCGTAGAATGTTCTGAGGATTGGGTTTGCGCTTTGGTTGCCGGTTCATTTTAACATGTTGGTGCCTGAGCGAATGAATGGCTCGTCGCGGATCCAGGTGGAGGGATGGAATTTTCATCGCATTGTGAGACTACTTGGTAAACGTTACCTTGTCACAAGCTTCACGCAACTCGAGGGTCATCAGGATCTGATGGTCACAAGTTAGAAAGGGCTGTAATTATTTAGAGCCGACGGATCGAATGCGTGTTTGCTGCGTTTTTAAGAACCCAAGACCGAGGGTGGAGAGTGATAATATTTTCCCAGTCTATCATATGAAATAACGGATACAGGTCACAATTAGGTGCGTGAATCCGTACTTCGAATAAATCTCGTTAATTAAAAGGGACTAAAGCGGCCATTGGTTCTTGCTGGGCTTGATTGGTGATCCAGCGGAACTAAGCATACCGTACCCAGCTTGTTTGAGAAGACACTTAGCATACGTTGATCAATTTAATTCCGTTTTTATGTGAGTTCTTGAGCCGATGATCGGTATAGAGCGTATCATAATAGGGGCCGCTGTAATTAAACTGTCGAAGCGTTCAGCATCTACAGTTTGGGATGTGGTGTCTTTGATTACAGTATATTCTGGTAAAACAGTATCAATAAATTCGAGGCAGCGCTGGAGCAAATCAGTTCAACCACACGGAAACGCTGAGGAGAATCTGGCTTCAAAGTCTGCAGCACATGAATGTTAATTGAAAGTTGAAAATACGTTCCCTTGATTGATTGGCTTCTCCCATTTGTCCAGATTGGAACTGTGGCGACTCAACTGGACCATTAAGAGTGAAATTTTTGAGAGCACCTTGATTATTCCCAATCCTCTGCAAGAAATACTACTGTACCTCTTGCGGTTCATCCATACATCTCATAGGAAAGCGGAGACCAAAGCGGTCAAGAAGGGGGGTCTCAGACTTTTGCGGCGCCACTGTAATTCCCAGCTGTCCCGCGCACCCTAAAACACATAGTAAATGCGATAAATTACCACTTCAAATCTCAACAACTACATTTGTTTATCATAAGATATTTAAAAGTGTATATCTTAAATAGTATTTCTGACCTACTGGGGAATTATAGGAAAATTGCTAGAAGTGTTGATAGAGATATGTATATGTATGTTCCCTACGTCAGAATTACGCCGTATTTTATGGTAAGGCGTTGATATCATTGTTTAGATCATTTAGGACCAAGGTAAATTGTTTTACATGTTAAGAAAAGCCTATATTCCAATACCCAAGCAAAAATAAACTATGGTTGTTGAGATACGAAGTAGTAATTTATCGCTTTTACTATGTGTTTTAGGGTGCGCGGCAGGACCGGGTGCGCGGGCGGCTGGGAATTACGTTATCACTGGACATTCATAGTTAATGGAGACAACATAAAACACAAGTTAAAATCCGACCTCAGACAATTTGGCAGTTCACTTGTAGTCTCACTCGTCCCTCTGGACAAACATGATACTCTTCTGCGAATTCTTTAAGGCTACAACGGTCTCTGATATGGTCATCGAGGCAAATATAAGAGAGACGCGGAGGGGCGCTGAGGGAATAGCCATGTTCTACTCGTCTTCGACGCACAGGGGACAATCAGGCAAGAATTTCCAATCAGACAAAGATTGAAGGGCAGCAGAGAAGGAGCACGCATGGAGCACGCATGGCGCACGAAGGCGAAGCGCACAATGCGCAGACGGGAGCAGGGATCACCCATGGAGCAGCAACTACGGAGCACCACGAGGTAGGCGAGGCGCGGATGCGAAAACGGCCAAACGCGAAAACACGCGAAAACACGTGAGCAAGCAGACGTGCAGGCGTGAGCAAGCAGACGTGCAGGCGTGAGCAAGCAGACGTGCAGGCGTGAGCAAGCAGACGTGCAGGCACGTGAGGCAACATCACATGGGGCGAGACAATCTATAAGAGAGTCTTATTTGCCCTTCGATCCATCTTGTCGCTTATCGATCAGACCGTTGCGCCGGCTGGTGTTGGCGCAGTTCAAATCAAAAGCTTTGCTTTACTACGAAATTACACGCTGGACGTACGCGACTGGAATTGGAAACTGGTCATTCTTCCTGACTCAGACTAGGTGACCGTGTCGCGTCTTGATACCAGTCTTCACTCCCACGTGACTGTACCTCCTCCTCGGGCCGGAAGCTCTGTAGCAGCTTCACCGCCTCGGCCATTCCTCCCTCCACGTGTCGCAGCTCTTCGTCAAGCTGAGCCACCAGGTTTTAGCTTTCTGTTAGCTGCCGTTCCATGGCTTCTGCCCACGCCTCCCATTCCTCAACCTTCGCCCGCAATGCATCGGAACGTGACCACGCCCGGTCCAGCTCATCGGCGAGCTCCTCGTTCTTACTGTCTAGCCGTCGGATAGTGGCCGTGAAGGATCCGTTCTCAACCCGTAGAACTGGACTCTGCCACAGTGATTTCAAGATTAGCGAATTGCCCGGAACATTTCCGGAATTCTCCCATCACGCAGACGTACATTTCTGCCCAGATTCGAGTTCTGGATGGTGCAGCCTGGCTGGGTCTCCGGGTCGACGGCCTCCATTGAGCGACCTAGGTTGTTGATGATGCTATTGTATTTGCCGACGGATCCAGTGCCCAGGTTTGTTGCCAGCAGATATTCGTATCCTTCCGCGACAGACCACGCATAGCCGTCTTCGGGACAAGGCTGTAGGCGGACCTGGTGTGCGGGAACTTTAAGTCCCAGTCGTTCGTCTGCCAGAGGCTGTCAGCGCCTAATACGTTCTATGATACTAGCACGATATTCCTTACAGATATGAGCTGCCAAAGCCTCACGGCAGTCTTGTCTCCGCTGGGCGCGCTTTTCATTGCTGGACAATGTCATGGTGTCGCACTTGGGTCGACCGGGTTTCTGGTGTCTAGGCAGGGACTGACCTTTTGCAGGACAAGTGTGGCCGACGGACTCTGAAATATCAAATATGTGGGAGTGGTGATTTTTTACACGCCTGTGCTGAATTGAACGGCCAGGCTTCCAGGGCGAAGCCAGCATCGGAAGGGTCCGTTCAAAACTTAGCAGTGCATTGTTCCACAGGAGCGTGGTTGATTCCATACCAATTCTGACATGGACCGGCTGTGGGAATTGGGACACATATCGGCAACGAGGGAGCCTCAGCAAGATGTCAGGCTTTTTGCACAGTCCAGGGACGTGAGTTAGGCGGAAACACTGTCGGTGTCTTGGCGTCGATTCGAGGCATGTACCAAGCCACTTGTTCTCGAGGACCATCCCCAGTCATGACCTGACAGCGTTGCAGGAAACCAAATCACGGTCGGCTAATCAAGACACTCACTACTGGCGACTGTTACTGTATGTGCGTACCCTCACGAAGGAGAGACTGAGCTCATCGATATCAGATTCGACGGGTATACTACTGCAGTGAGGGCTTTTCCCTCAGAGTTAGGGTAGGGTATGTATTTCTCGTCGTGTGGAACGTCTCTGCGACATTATAAATACTCCATTGCTAGCTAGGCTGTCTATCCAAAGTCATTAAAGGCAACCTGATTTTTCTTTTGACAGTGCTATGACGCACAAGCGAAGACGCCCGGTCCAACGCGATGCGGAGACAGCGAGTCTCAATCAGCCTCCGCCGAAGAAGAGAAGGATTACCCGCTACCAGGCCAAAGCAACGGCGGTTGAGCAATTAAGCAGTCCACCCTGCCAACGCACTCGTATCACGCTCCGCCTTCGACAGGGACGGTACGGAGGGTTGAACGATACAGGGAGGGCAAAGCGGAGTGCCGCGGGGCGAGACGCGCGCTGTGGTGGTCTGGACCAGGACGATACCGCAAAGAAAGAAGCTATCCGCCAGGACTGGCTACGCAGGCTTCGCCCCTGGCCTACTCGGGCCAAATAGAAGCCTGGTTCGGTGAGCGGTTGGCCCAGACCGCGATGATGGGGTTCGGTATCAGAGCGTGAGGAGTAGGATGAATTGGAATTTTGAAATTGTAGTGCGATACTCTCTCTATACTGGGGTAGGTTCATGGACGTTATCTTTTCGTAACTCGCTCAGAGCAGCCAGAATGCTGACGAAGGCCAGCGCAGACCACATAAATGAACAGAGAGAAACAGAAATGTGCCGACGCTTGGCCATTCCGGGTTTGATTGGAAGCTCATACAACCTATTTGCTGCGGTCAATGGCGCCACTGAGCATGTATTCTAAGTGGGCCAATGGCCGTAAAGGCCAGCAAAGGCTCTCTCTTGCTTGTGTTGGAATTTAACGTGCCTACTGAAATCGGTGTACGAGAGATTGTGATTGATACAAATGCATGCGGGATAAATTCTTGAGAATGCGATGCTCTGTTAAGAGGAACCACTCCTAGTTTCATTCTAAAAGCGTAGAAATCCCGCGGCCTCACGAGTCCTTACACTCGCTACTTTCCTAAGACATTCAGGCCTCTAGGCAATCGGTGATACTGTAACTCTTGAGGACGACTTAAGTAATACTATAACAAGGGGCGAAAACACACAGGTGAGCACACTCTCCTTTAGTTCTCTTTTCCTGGTGCCCTTCTTTCCTTACCAGTTCTTTCAGCACAATCTCTAGGATTGGTGGTGGATATCCTCTCGATCTCAGCGCATCCATCCCCTACTGAGGATAAAGATCTTCTCTCTCCCAATACCACCATAGCGGCTGCTTGATCTTTCAATCCCCTCGGTCAATGGACGATCTGGAACCGTTGGGGGATTTTGATAGACGAAGATGGACCCGATTCGGAGTCCATGCTACAGTACTAGGTCGTTCACCGCGAGCAGCTTTCTAGGCAAAGGCACCTTCCGAACTCCTGTTCAATCCTGTGTCGCCAACTTACTCGTTCGTCTATTCAACATTTTGCTATGTATATTTTTACGTCCATCTATGCTTGTACACATGACTGTAATCCTTGGCCTAGATAACCACAAAACCTTTCATTTGCATTCATTCTCTGCTTGAGGGGGATACAAATGGTATATCACTCCCACCACCTGTTCCTTGAAGGACTTCGTGGATCGACGGAATTGTCCATCTTCCTTCCACTGGGTGAGACAGCGGTGAAGTCGTGTAAGTTGACACAGGTTGCTGATTACAGGAGCCCACAGGGCATACCGAAGAAGGCTCTCCATGGATAGGTCGGTTGTCGTTCGGCAGCCATGCAGTGCTTCCAAATCCCGAGTTTCCCCTGTGGATGGATTGTTGTCCTGGCGAGCGACTTTGATGAAACGCAGTTAATTCCATTCCACGTGCTGGGCTGCGTGCGGTTTGAAGAACCCGATTATGGGCACTGGTCTCCGTGTTATTTTCAAGAGGCCCTCCTGATATGGTCATGGACGGAGCTTTAGGTTTCTGCCAATATGTCGATTTCTTGTAACCCTCACATCTATAACCAGCCCCCGTACAGTTCACACCTGAGATTGTCTGTCAGCGATAGCCTCTTGCTGGAGTATATAATCCTTCACTCTGTGTGCAAAAGGGCTTACATACATGATAGCTTCTGCTCGTCACACTTCTTTTTCCTGGAGCGACAGGTTATACAGCCAGTCTTGGTCCTGTGGCTGAATGCACGCTTTCTCTTTGGTTGTAGCTGAACTGTATGTTCATGGATATATAAATCACTCCGCTAAGACTCAGCAGCCAGCGAAACCATGCTATGATGTGTCTCCTCGCTCGATATCGCACCTGCGGACTGCGACGTAAGGTCATCAGTGAGTGGTGTCTGTTCCGCGTAGCTGGAGTCTTGCACATTGTTTCCCGGCTGTCTTTCCACGGAAGTCGAGGAACCAACCTCATCCCCGTCGTTATTGATCTCCCTAAAATGCTGCCGTGCTGAACCGGACTGTGCATTTTGCTGGCCGTCGGTACACGATAGCTTCGCTTGCGTTCCAATTGTCAAATCTGATTCAGTTGTGACCACAAATTCCCAATCACCACCCGTCATTTCTCTAGAAAGGGACAAGGGTGTTCTTGATATAAAATCCTGCTTCCCCACTTGATTGTTAGAGAGGGTATCGCTCGTCGGAAGTTCCTGTTTGCCAGCAATGCCCGTGTCCTGCGGTGCCCCGATGTTCCGCCTAGCTGTTTGAGAATCGCTTTTTTGTTGCTCTTGGGATATTGAGCTCACAGTAGCAACCGTCAATGGTATATCGTTGGCAGACTCAAGATTGAGCTCTGGGGAAAGGGTCGAGCCAATATTTGCATCATTACTTCCCTTCTCATCTCCCAGGGCCTTCTCTTTCGAGAAGGCCTCTGTACGGTTCGCATGGTCCGTCATTGCCGGGATGTGGCGCGTAATAGCACAGGAAAATGCGTCCGTGGTAGAATTTGGACTAACTGCTGGGATCCCTGGTAAACAGTCTTAGAATTTTGATGATCATTTCGAGAACAGCACATACTCACTTCCTTTGTTGGTTCCATCGGAAAACTCAGCCAGCGGTAAGATTCTTGGTTGGACTCTTATTGGCTCGTCCAGGTTTGATGGCACGGATGACTGGCAACTCAAGACAAAACGGTCCGCTGGCTCTATACCTGGAAGTAGATCAGCAAAGGTTTTCCGTGCCATTCGTACGACCCAACTGGTACCTAGTACGTAATGAGAAATAATTAAGGGAATTCTCACCTGACCATGAGTCTTGCAGTCCATCAATACATTCAATGTCCGAATGGCACTCAACCGAGGACTGAAGATCTGGGGAGACTGCTGCAAGGGGCTCTTTTCTTTGATCAACTGTTTCGTTCGAATCCACGGAGACCTCTTAAACTACAGATCTAGACCCGCAGCCATCCAGTCGGTTAACCGCCAAGCGCGGGCAATCCAGTTCAGCGACTAGTTCCGGATCACCGTCTGCGTTCACTGATGATGATCCTCCTTCTTGCGATCTACCTTCCTGTGATCTGCCTTCTTGGGGCGCTCGCCATGGCGATCCCCTCAACTCGAATTCAGTCTCTATCGTCTGAGTTCCCGAAGATTTCTGTTGGAGTGAACAAAGCGATTTAGAAATGATGCCCAACGCCACAGGGAGTTTGGAAGGATCAGTAGATTTTCCTGGGACGGGAAGTTTCACAGCCGGAGGAAGTAGCTCGGTGGCGGCATGCCTTCCATGCGAAGGCCTATTCTTTTTATTGCATAAATAGCCACAGCCTTGTTTGTAGAGTTCGGCTTGCAATGAGTCATAGCTTCGATCCAGGCCCGAGAACAGAAAGTATTTTTCCTGAATTTCTTTCTTGGAGAGGTTCCGATGTTGCTCAAACCAGCCGGGCAAACCCCTGGCCTCTTCGGGGGTCCAGAAGTGGTTTTGGCCTGAAGAGGTTATCAGTGGTTTTGCATAACTATCTGATAAATGTCAGGTCTACCTTTCCTTTTCCTGCCTTGCTTAGCCATGGGAGATCCATCCGGGTTCTTGGATGTAATGGTTGCGCCCGAGCCGGTTAGAGTACATTCACCCGAAATATTTCCCTGCAGCCCGAACATTATGTACTTTTGTTGCAATTTTTCCATCCTTCCAGACAGCCCTATCAATACGTCATCGATTGTTTGATTCACTAAATTCGCACAGGTCAGCAGAGTGGTCGACTGAAGGTGGACTGCACGAACATCGCTCGGTGAGATCTCTCCAGGGCGCTATTTGAGATCGAGTCAATTTGACAATATTGACTTCCGATGCGACATCGCTAGGATATGAATGAGGGTCAGCAATCTGCCGTGGAAGACCGGTTGTAATAAACTCATAGTCCTGTTTTGACACCTCCACTTTACCCTTATCCACCCGGACATGGTAGTTGCCATCAGCCTGCTGCTCCGATTCATATGTTGAGGATAGGACAACATCGGCCCAGTGAATAGTGCATCTAGCCTGGTCGGCCTCCAATGCACGCGGATTGCTCTCTGTGAATAGGGACTGAAGTCTTTCCGCTTTGAGATCGCTGGCAAGAGGAACTTCCAACAGTCGCGCAAGGTTCATGTCTGCTTGCAGAACAGTTTGATAAGACTGCAGTAGTTCAAGAGTAGAACGCAATGCTGTTTCTGGCAGAACCAAGTGACGAAGATATAACCGAGCATGTAAATCCCCGGTGCTTGGGCAAAGTGCTTCTGTCTCCCTACGCTGGGGTTCTTGGCTCGGGTCGGGGGGCATTTTAGTCAAGCCCTGCTGGTTATGAGATACCAGAGCAATAGATGTCCGCGACACTTTGCACAAAGATGATGGAACTTTCAGTGGGAGTAGAGTGCAGTCTGAAAAACGTGCCAAGTCACAGGTCGCAGGAATGCGCGATTGGTGAAGGTTGCTAGCTTTGCTATGGAGGGATAAGTTAAATCAGGAGGTGTGCCAAGGGCAGGGAGGTATCTTGCCGCAATGCGATTAAAATTATTCCTATATTTTCTTTGAGGATTTGAGCGAATTTGCCTCGGGCCACACGAGAAGAACGACGGAGATCACACAACCCAATCACCAACGGCGCGAACAGGATCACCTCCGATTGGCCGGTATGTGCCGATCATCAATTTTGGCCCCATTTCAGGAAACAGACGCTTTCTGGGTAATACAAGGAATTACCATTTCAATTGTCAAAATTGTAAGCGATTATGTGCTTAGGAAGGCCGGATACCTATCCCATATCGAGAACAGAGGCGGACTGATCTATACGGACGTGTGCGCCGGCCGGGTTACTCCATTTCCCGGACATGGGTAAGGATGGAACGCAGCATTTACCCACCGCGGACGAGACCGATGGCTTCGAACCTTGAACCATGGATCGAAGGCCTATTGTGGATATTAAGCTTTCAGCCGGGGCTAATAATCCGCCTACGCCGAGTCTGGTAGGAGTCTTCTCTCAAGGGCCTCAAAATAGATAGCTGGAGCTTCTGAGGCAATCCACATCCGTGCACGCGAGGGTTGATCCCTGGCCGAGGACGAAAGACAAATTTCCGGGGTTATCGGCGCCTGGACCAACCGAGGGGTTTCCTTAGTCGATTGGCCCCTGTTTACAAAAGAACGCTCTAGGCCAATCGAGCCGCGCAAATTTCAGCGTGACAAAACGATACAATGCACGCGCTTCAGGACAGCCCAGCGTCTCCGCTGACGCACCCCTAATGCATGCCATGCAGGCGAGGCCCACGCAGGCCATGCCAGCCATGCCACTTTAAATCCACATTCACCTGCGTAGACCGATATTGATATCTGATGCTGCTGCCAATAGACAACACTTGCCATACACGGGAACTCCAGAATCATTGCTTTGTTGTTCCTGCGGTGCCAGTTCAACCTTACCAAGGAGGTCAAAATTAGTTTTATTGGAACGGACGGGATCGGGCTGGTCCATCCCGTAACCTTCGCCGCATCCCAATTCAGAAATTTTCCCTGGCGATCCCAACGCCATGATTGCCGTTTCTAAATGAGGCGACAATGATGGGGGTGGAACTCTGTTGACCAATACTGACGGTCAATTTAGCGCTGTTGGTGATGGAGATACAGCTTCCAGGCAAAGAGAACCACTTGTGGGCGTTTACAGGGCCATTTGAGGAATCACGCGGAGGATTCGAAAATAAGCTGTACAGAACCAGACCATGCCAAGGCTAGCTAACAGTTGTTCTACCTCGCTCGGATGATTGTGACATCTGCCATAGCTCCAGATACGTTGTATTGAGTGGCAAATCTTTGCCCGAAATATACCCCTGCCATGTTCGTTGCTTGGTTAACGATCCCATTCCGCTCTTGGTATTGACTGGTTCGACCTAAGCAGCACGGAAGAAACCCGTTCCGAGATCAAAGGTTTGCCGTAATTTGACTTTGCTAGCCGATCGCGCTAACTTGAGCACAGTCAAATTTACCACATAGAGAAATTCCGTTTCACGCCCAGCCGATTAAAGCAAAAAGCCAGGACAACCAATCGGACTGACCTCAGTAACCGGATAATGTGCCGGGATCTACCCGTCAAGCGCGTGCGCGAAACGTGCGCCATGCACTCAGAAACAGTGTGCATACTCCTTGAACGAGAAACCACCTTCTTGGCAATAGTTTACATATTGCGGAAATTTTTCATATGGAGCTTCGTCCGTAGAGGGGCACAGCCTTGTCGAGTGTACTTCCTGTCTTTAGAATCGAGAGACCGTTGGCTATTGAGGTGCTTGAAACCAAAAGCGCACTATCCAATGATATTAATTTGTAGAACTGACGACCAATGAAGTCGTGGCTCTGGTCCCACCCTCCCACCCTGCCAATCACTTCCGGTCAAGTCCCCCCAGGTGACCGTGCTAACCGGAGCACAGTCAAATATATCCAAAGGGGTAATTCAAACGAGACGTCCCGGGGCCAGGATGCCCAGGATGTCCTTGATCACGGAACAGGGTAGGATGTAGACAGGGATTCCTTTAGTTAGTATAAGGATTTGCCTCAAGCTTGCTTTGCCCTGGTAATTTTGCTTCAAGTATTTGATTTTGCATGGGCAATGTCGATCAAGGCGCACCGATAGCTATGGAAAAGCGCAAAACATAGAGCCCCATTGGTTACGAATAAGATATGGTAGGCGGACGATGTTCTCATCTAGTCACGTCCCTCAAATCCGGTATGCAAGCAGTCGCAAATGGCGAAGAAAAAGCGTGCTCGAGGAACCATGGCAACCTTAGCCATCGGTCACGGGGTGACAAAGTACCTTATTTATACTAGTTCTTCCGTGTTGTTCGTAGGTTTGTGCTTGTTGGAGCATGGTATGGACTACTCCTTCATCCGTGAAGGTTGTGGCTGCTATGTATAGCATATATATTGCAGGCAACCAACGGGCATGTACTTGCTTGAGAGATTTCTCCTTTCTGGAACGGAAATCGACTTTAAGATGAGAAAGTGCCTGTACTGTATAACCAACTTCTCGGACATCTCCGGTGTTATGACGAGGGAAGTAAAGCGTTTGTTGATCAAGATGACGATTCCTTCTCTAACAAGAACAGAATGTGCGCTTCACAACCTATCGTGCTATCGCATCCTGACTGACCTTAGAGAAAGGCTCGGTGTGTTCAGCCAATATTGTGTTGCCTGTAGGCGCCGTTGGTGAATCCGTTGGTGACTCCGTTAGTGAATCCGTTGGTGACGCTTTAGCTTTCTGGACCTATTCAACATGCGCACTCCACCCGGTTAGCCTCCTCGCGAGAGACTGATACGGGTAACGGAGCCGATCTCGAGGACATAAGCTCTCAGATTTGCTGTGATCGGAATAGCACCATCGGGTCGCCATGTAAAGCCGAGCGAGATGTACAAATTAGGACGCAGCGGATGAAATGGCACT